CGCGCCGTTACCGCCGACAACGTCAGTCAGTCCGCGAGTGTCAGCGTTCGCGTACGATATCGCGACGGCCGTCGACGACGACTACGACTGTTGTAATTTCGACCGCGAAACGTGTTCGGTTTACGGTTGTGACACGGCCACGGCGTTTACTACGTCAACCACGGCCACGGTTACGACGGACGGGGCTTCCACTGTTGGCCGCGACGACAGCGGACTGAGCGATTTCGGTGGTGCGGTTGCTTGGGACGATTACGACTACTGCTGTAGTGTGGCCACCGCGGTGGAAACCACGGTCGATCTCCGTGGGGGCGCAGCCGCCCCATACAGTCACACCCCAATGGGCTCAACCACCAAGCTCGTGGGGATCGATGCGAACAGCGATGACACACCAAAGGTACGTACCCAACACCCACTATACAGGGGCGTCATTTCAGGTTTTTTTTCTGGTGTGCGAAGTTTCAAGCAGGCCATTTTGAAATTTCACCAGGCCATATAAAAATACGTATATGTATATTATCCTGCATTCAATTATTTCCATACATTATAGACCGGCTATTACAATTTGATTTTAATCATATAAATAATTGTGCATTCATGGCTCGTGCATTATTTTAGGCTTCAGCAAGGCGCAGGCCAATTGTAACATTCTAAAAGTAAGGGGTGCAACCGCACACCCTGCCACCCCCAAAATGACGCCTCTGCCACTATATGATATCAATATTAAGCCCAGATAATCTGATCATGTCAATAAATATAGATAGTGTTATTATTGTCCAACGTCCATTATAATCGTAATTTGTTATAATGTTATACTCATTTTTCAAAATTGTAATTTTTTTACGTCCTTAAATATTTGCGTCAGATGATCGACCGCAGTATCCATTATTATTTTTAGAGCTTCGTAAATAATCGGAGATTACGCTTTTCTTGCTAGCCTATTGTTTTAATGTATTTGTATGCAATTATTTTCCATTTTTTCTCAATTTCCTTCCGATACGGTGAGGCGCGCATAATATTGAAATTTACTGCATCATACTTTTGTAAAAGTGTTTCCTAACTTTTCTCAAGTTACATTTAATATTTGTTCAGTGGGGTGTGGATGACTGTATAGTTGGTGATGGAGTTATTTTAGTAAATGGCATATTTAGGATAGTTAAGAAAATACACTTTATTATAGATATACTATATACTAGTATTGTCAATAAACAATTAACGTAACTTAAAGGGTGTAAGTGTGCAAAGCGCAACAAGTGTAGATACATGATATTTTAAGTGCATACTATACAAGTGGATCTGTTTTGATCGGTTATTTAAGTTGTTTGTGTTTTTATAGGTATAGTAATACATCTTTGTGTCGTAATATTTGTTCCCGACACACGATACACACCATTATTATTATTTGTTTCTCAAAATAAATCAGTAAAAATCTTGTATCGTAGAATATTCTAACGTATTATGTTTGTCTGTATTAGCCAACATATACAGGGAATGAGAACCTATTTAATGTAATCCGCGAATGATCTATTATTAATTATTGAAAACCGAATCTCACGTGGTTTTGGGGCAAAAACATTTGATACGTTTATAGTAGTAATTATTACATATATATATAATATATATCATTTAAAATTCAAAAATAAATGTTCATATTTGTATTGTAATTTGACTTGTCAAATTGCAGCAAGTTGCATGTTTTTATATTTGAATTCTTAAATATTATTATTATGCATAAAAATGTAAACGTACTTAGTATTAAAATACGTTATTTGTCAACACAATCAAGGTCACAATATAAAATTATACGTACCTAATGTTAGTAACGATTTGGTTATTAATTTGTGTGTATATAGACATATAGTATATACCTACTGTATTATATAGTACCTATAGTATATATATACTATATATCAAACATCTTGAAAAATATATATTGCTTAAATTAAAATGCTATCCACGAGTAGGGAATGTGCCGCTGCTGGCAAGATTTAATTGAATTTCAATCAATAGAGGTTTTATAGTTTGAATAATTTGTTGTTATTTTCCGTTAGAAATTATAATTGAATATCTTCAGGGCTTAGAAATCAAACAATAGCAGGACTTCTAAAGAAAATATCATACATTAATATAACTCACTATACCCTCGTATGTATCACGCGAGGTATCACGTATAAGGTAGTATAGGTATTATAGGTACTAAAATTGTTATGTTTCGTATCAACATTTGTGCAGATCAATACAAATAACCGTTATCAATATGCTAAAGTTACAGGTAGTTAATTCAAAAAGCGATCGTGACAACTGATTAGGGCTTGGATTTGTATGCATTTGCATATTTTTAATGATCGATCGCGTACCATATTCCAGGTAAGCACAAAATATTATGTTACAACTTACAATAGAAACCGTGATAAAAAAATACGAATTCTTTTAGTATTTGTGCATAGTATATAAAATTTTACAGTTTCTAGATCATATTTTACAATTTTAAGCATATGGTATTTTTACGAGCATATATTTTATCGCATATTTGCCATTTTTGGTATAACCTAAACACAATTATTTAAAATATATTTTGTGATTTATTTGTAGCTTATATAAATTCAAGCCATATTGAAAATGAACTTATTTTGTGATATAAAGTTGCATTTTTAACTGAATTTCGGGTTCGATCACCGTAAAACCTTTAATTATAATAAATAGTAGGTGATATATACTGAAATAGTTTCATGCGCGGCAGCCTTGACAAGTCAAAATTGAACAGCTCGTTAAACTCTGTGGACCGTGACCCACACAAATCTGTTGATTCAAATTATATTTTAGAAAAAACATACTCAAAAAATGGAAATGGAAATTTTTTTTGGTCTACTCGATTCGTTTCCTGAATAGATATAAAGAAACATCACCGAAATCATGAGCGTAGTAAATTTTCAAAGCTTATAAAAATCACGTAATATTTTAGGGTTCATAAAAAACGAATGCATTATTTTGGAAGTTAATGATTTTATTGTGTAGCAAGAGCTCTGTAATAAATTGAACTAACTTTATGCTTATCGTATATTCCCATTTGTATAAATTCATAATCCACAATAATATAATTGGCAATGCACATTGACATTGACATTGTTCTAGAAACAACCACCTATTAAATTATGGATGGATAATGAATATAATACAATATTATTGAAAAAAAAGTATTCAATATTATATTATCGGTATTATAAATAATGTCTATAGTTATTTTGAATTTTGATATATTTGTCTTTTGCGTAATGAATTATAGTGAATAATTAATGACTAATATTACATACGGCGAATAATACCAGTACAATAGGTAGTAATGTGCCATGTGGCTTTAGATTAATATTGTTATTAATTATTAATCGTTTGATGGATGTTTAGTTCATTTTTACTCATCGTCTGGTTATAAGTTATAACATATGATTAAATATGTTAGGTATATCGTATGACTTAATATAATAATGGAAATATGGAATCAATAATATGTTAATGTAAACTATTTACCTATAAGATGGGTACTCAAAAATATATCTTATTGATAAACGAGATAAAATTCCACCTGATTCGTAATTGAATATTTTCAAACCTTATGTCAAATTTATTATTTCTTTTAATTATCTTTTAAGCCATTGGCAGTTAAAATCATATATTAATATGTCATATACATTATTATGAATAGGTATACCGATAGTTTGAGTATGACGTGTATCGAGATGAGTTTCGTACTAAAATCTCCAAAACTGTTATTGATTTCTCTTATATCAATATTTCGTAACACTTTAAATGTCCAAATTAGGGGCGGTGGTAAACTCTCCCGATTTTAAAAAAATAGTAAACTCTCTCGATGGTAAACTCTCCCGGGTTAATATTATGTTTACCTGAAGTAAATGTGTAAACTCTCCCAGGTCAAAATTATGTTTACCTAAAGTAAATGTGTAAGCTCTCCGGGTTAACTTTATAGTTACCTGTAGGAAGTATGTTAACAGTTAATATTAACTCTCCCGAGTTGTTTTAAATGTTAAAACATTTTTTTAGGAAAAAAAAATAGATTCCCTAACTTTTTTAAAATCTGTATGTTCTTATTATCAAAAACAATCATTTTTATATTTTTATGTATATTTTGTATTTGTAACTTATATCATTATTATTATTATTATTATTTTTATTATTATTATTGACTATTTTTAAAAGAAACTTAAATGTATATTAAATTTTTTGAAATTTGATTTTTTATTGTATTTTCAATTTTGACTATAATATTATACCTCATACCATCTAAATACATTAATTTATATTATTATTATTATTGTTATTATTATTATATATGATCGACTATTTTTAAACGCAATGTATATTAAATTTATTTTATGATTTTTACTAGACCTAGGAGAGTTTACATGTTTCCATCAGGTAGTACAGGAATAGACCTGTGAGAGTTTACACGTTTCAGTCAGGTAGTACTGGAGTAAACCTGGGAGAGTTTACCATCAGGAGAGTTTACCATCGGGAGAGTTTACAATCACCCAAAATTAGAATGACTAAACATAGTATATTTGTTCAAAAGCACCATGTAAGTCGTCTTCACTTACAAACCTAACCATGGAAAATATAAGTCACACGCAATCAGGCTGCAGATTGAATTATAGATATGACAATGAACTAGGTATACAAAGTGACTCACGATTTTGAAAAGAACGAATTTTAGTGAAAACAATTAATTATAATTTTTGGTATGGCGTTGTTTTTGGAAAAAGTGATATTTATCTCAATTTCTTAAGTTTTTACGTTTTTGATTGACGACATACATTTTTAATTTCACATCCTAAAACGGATTATTCATCAAAGTGTTTCGATACATAAAAATCGAGTTTCAAATGAGTAGGTAGTTAATTGGTCATATGTAACTGATTAGTGTTTTAATTACAAAGTGTAGATTTACAGAGTAAAGTGTTAGTAAATACACTACTTGAGCATTTTTAACGATGTTTAAGCATTGTGTGCCATACTGCCATGTACCCATGTCATTGTGATTGTAGGTATCCCATTAATAATATATTAATAATAAAAAATATTGTTTTCGTTCCGGTGACGCACGGCGTATTTATTATAAATCCCTAAAAGACTAACCATAGGAATTTAATATTATATAACCGAGTTATAATTCTATTTCATATATTTTTTCCTCGTTAAAATTAATATTCTGTAGACGGTGGTACGTGCCGGTCATTGTTTGTGTGACAGTGTGACACCATTTGGGCACGAGCCTCTCACCGATTTTTTTAAAAACAATTTTTTTTTTTAGATAGTACCGATTTACATTCTATTTCCTCCTATGTATACTATATATATAATAAAATAAAGGATATGTAGGTGATT